TATATGTGTGTGTGTGTGTGTACGTGTATGTACATTTTTCCATGCATGTTCGCAAAAAGGTTTGTATAATTGCTCAGCACTCGTTCGAGATCTTGGTGCTTTGAGTTTGATCAGTTTCTTTGCTTTTGTTGGTTGCAGGCCGGAATGGTGGTATCTACAGAATATTATGATCTGTTGAACGTGTCAGTGGACTCAGACGATGAGACTGTACGAAGAGGCTATCTCAAGCAAGCACGGAAATGGCATCCGGATAAGAATGGCGGTGACCCCAATGCCGAAACACGGTTCAAGGCAATAGGCGTCGCATATAAAGGTAGTATTGGCAGCTCACAAACTTCGATAGTTAAAAAGGTTGCGTTGGTAACTGGCTTAGCTTGGACTGTAATATCTGTTTTCGGTGACGCTGTTTTGTAGATCGAGCACTATGGCGTACAGATTGATGTTCGCGGATAAAGCCAAGCTAGTCGCATTATCTGTCGTATTATCATCAATACACTCGCGAGGCATTGAGCTGTCAGTTCATTGTTGTACTATTGATCTCTTCCGTAGCATCCATGTAGCACGAATCTGTTCTTTTTTTTTGCATACCAGACCATCGAGTATTCTGATCGCATTCAACGATCATCACGTTCTCGAGACCTCATTTTCATCTGCATGGTATTTTCAAGTCGCAGTCACATGCGTACATTCAGCTTGCACCCACAAACATACCAGCACTCCCGCATTCAATGCACTGACATTTTTGTCATTCCCTGTTGCCACTCCTATCTGGTCCACAGTTCTTTCGGATAAGAATTTAAGACAGATTTACGACGAGAAAGGGAAGGAGAAGGCTGACCAAGCCAACAACGCGGCACAAGTGGACCCCATTGAGCAGACGACTGAGCTCTGTCGCTCGTTATTCGGGTTTGGAAAATTCGACACAGTGTTTGGAGATCCCACGACGCTATCCCTGTTCTTAATGGCGTTAAAGGTAGGCTATCGCGAAATACTTGCGCAAACATACTCATCTCCTTCCCACACAATGATACACGATGTACAATCTGGTTCTGCTACACGCAAACCAAAGGCTCAAATACTTAACCCGGGTACCATGAAGTTCTACAGTACACGCATGCGTGCTTGTACAAGCATGCGGATATTAGACTTCACACTAGCGATTGGGCTCAACGACATGGAATACGTTTACGCCCAACACAAGTGTATCCGTGGGTTGAATCTATGCGATGATCGGCTCAGACGCGCGTGCCTCACTATAGGTGGGGCATATTTAGCACCTGATGTGGCGTGTACTGCGGAGAAAATCTCTTTGCACTGTTTTCCTCACATTCTCACCCGCTCATACAATGACCTTCATATTCTCTGTGTTTAATCACAAATGAACAGCTGATAAGTCAGTCCCAGGACAAAGGCACCTCACTGGATGCGACTGAAGAGGTGAAGAGGCAATTAGAACAGCAAGAACGCGACGAAGCCGAAGGTGTGTAGTTCCATTGTTTATAGTGTTGCTCCATTGTTTATATTTGGGTATGCTAAGCCATCCTGGTAGATGTCCACGTGTTGTGTACATGAAGTTGTTGGCGTGCTCTCTCTGTCCACACTATGGTTAGCCCTCGTGTCCTTGGGTGTTTGATGGGGCGTGTGTTTAATGAGGAAAGCTATGTATCAGTAAAAGGATATCGGTTATGGAGTGTTCCGTAGGCAACACACAATACACACACTATGAAGCCAATGCAAGTGCACTACCAGATCATTGGAACCGATCTGGTCCTTTCATCTGAGGCTAATTAAGCGAGGGGTAGTTATTCAACACAGCTTGACAATTGAAACAAATTGTGAGAAATAAATTAGGTCAATCAAGGGTGACATGCTCACGCAGAATCCTCAAGCAACTTTCAAGTGCCCAAGGCCTTTTGCGAATGCAAACCTCACGTGTCACATCGAAGCGTATCTCCAGTGTCCGATATCATATTGCGGTCATACCAGGGTGTCCGTTTCCTTGTGTTCTCAGTTGCCTTCACAAGGGTGTGAATAGTCTCGCTTGCTATTGTCGTAGATTGTACTAGGGTTTTTACTTGGCACTTACATGCGCAGTCCGATTTAGTGCTTGTGCACTCATCTGACGCTTCTATCTCTTTCATTTTGTTTGCAGCCAAAGAGCAAGCCATCGTTGACGAACTCTGCCTGATGCTGAAGAAAAAACTCAATAACCTGGCAAAGTATGTATGTGTTTAGGGTTGATGCCGTTCTGCTGAATGACCAAGACCTAGCGCTTCTTGTGCGTCCCTATTGAAAGCACAGCTCACGTGCGCATGTTAAACATCTGATGAAGGTTCAGGTGCATTGCCCTTATAAATGTCCCAAGTATTAAACAGCATTGCTCTTATAATTCTCCCAAGTATTTAACAGTGACCGTGCCAGTCCAATTGCAGTGTCTTGTATCATGCGTGGTGCAGTAGGATATATCTCTGCGGTGTGATGAATCGTACACGTGTATACGGATATTGTTAGCCCTCCAGAGTTCAAGTTTTAAGTCATAAAACAGCAATCGCACAATGCGAGTTCTAATAAAACAATAAATGAAACAACCTATCGCTTTCACCACACCATCGCTTATAACAGAGGCCAAGAACACAAGCAATTCTTCCACGAGATGGTTCTACTGGAAGCCGAATCACTCAGCGACTCACCCGGTGGCGATGAACTCGTTGGGATCACGGGATATATCTACCAACAAGTAACCGCCCCCCCCCCCCCCCCCCCCACCCACATGTGACAACTTACAGACTCGTATGTCTTCATAGGTCCCACCTCAGTTTCTGTAGGACGTTCGAATCTCAACACAGAGCAGTGACGTCCCAGACAACCACCAACCCCAATACTACTATAATACTATAGTATATA